GCCTAAAGTTGTTGCCTCAACAAGTAACAAGATGATCGCCATATTTAGAATCCTGAAGGCGGCCACCAAAAGAACTTAGAAATCTTAAAAATGTTTCTGGGACTTGGAGAGAGGAGCAGGATTGGGGGATAGCTTTAAAAAATTATCACGTGCCCTCCTTAATACTGCATGGAGCACTGGGTGTTATAGGAAAACAATGGATCGTGGATCACCACATCAAAAACCAATGATGTATTGTATGGTGACTAACATAACACAATAAAATTTAAAAAAATTATTACTACGTACAGTTCTGGACTGACTTCTGGCCATGTGCATATATTATTTTGACTTTTTGAAGTCACTGAGTACCTGCCCTGTGGCAGGCATTGTGTTAAATACCAGATACTCAGAGGTGGTACCAGCCTTGTAGCAGAAGCGCCTACAGAAACAGATGATGCGAGTTTAGGAGCCCTTCCTTGGGATGTGTTTGTGGAAATTGGAAGAGAGGAAGCAGGGCAGGGAATCACAGTTCACAGTGTATTTGGCCAACCGACTGAGACTGTTGGTATAGAGCTGCCACAGAGGTGACTTAGGACAAGCCTTTAGGACTTGGGGCTTGGAGACTTGACATGGTTCCTTTAGAATGATAATATTCTAGGCAGGCAGATAGAATTACTGACAGTTTGGAGCTGGGAGGGTCCTTGGAGAGATCTATCCAACCCTTTCATTTTATAGACAAAGCAGGCTTGGTCATGGCAGACCTAGTCTTCCTGACTCAGTCCTTCTGATTGCAAGTTTAGTGAGAGCTAAAAGGAGCTTCCCATTGAGACACCCCTGGAAGCACAAAAGCAACATCTGTCACGGACCTTTGGAAGCTAGGCACTGTACTGGCCACATCACGCATGTTATCTAACTTAATCTCTACAACAGCCATGTGAGATAGGCTAGACACATATTACAGTCGAGCAAACTAAGGTTTAAAGAGTTTAAATCATTTGTCTGAAGCTTAGAACTAGACAGACAGAGAGCCTGGATATGAATGAGCCTGTCTGACTCCAAGGTTCACGCCCCTTGGTTTCTGGCCCATAATTTGCCCCCTGCTGACTGAGATAAGAGTTACACATCCCTATAGTGGTGACCAACATAAAAAATAATGGCCATTCCATATTTAATCATTGAACATATCAGCGTGATCCACTAATAAGGGAAACATGATCCTGGAACTGTCTAAGCAAGGCTCTTTGATCTGCTTCTCCACTCCCCCATGGCCCAGCCTGGGGGAGGGTCTGTGAGCTGCCAGGCCATCCTTCTTGATTAGAAGGGACCCCAGGAGCCTCTGAGTAGCCCCAAGCTATTCTGAGCAAAATAAACAGGAAACGGAAAAGAGGGAGGGGAGACAGAAATGCTCACTGACTTTAAAAGATTTATACTGACAATATCCCAAGGAGCTTATGAAATGTATTTTTTCCTTTTTTTTCTTTTTTTTTTTTTTGGAGAGAGGAAAGCTCCTGATGAAGAGATAGCTCTCAACTAGAGTTTCATTGACAGTGAAAATACTTTAAGCTCAGGCTTTTATTGCTAGTCCGGTTGCACAAAACAAAATTCATATAAACATCATCTCACATATTAGAACTGGAAAAATAATCCATCTTCCAGTCAACTTTGAAAGAGTCCCGTTATTGAGCTCCTGAATTACAAGGACAGAGTTTACATGTGTTCCTACCCTCAGGAGGGAGGAAGAGTGGTGCAGGGGGAGCCCTAAGCCTAGCACCTGATTCAGCTTGATTTTCTCCCGCTGGGAACTTGAGTTTCCCCTGGGGGATGTGTGTGCACACACGCACATAATCCTTCTGAGAAGAAGGAGAACATTTCCTTTCTTTTGCCCACATTCCTTCCCTCATAGCTCAAAAACTGGGTTTCAGTATGACATTCCACCAACTTGAAAACATCAGAGTAGGGTCTCAGACCAGGGTCCAGTTGCTGCTCCCTTACATGTGACAGGCTGGCTCCATCCTAACCCCAGACCATGCCCCAAAGCTTCTGGAGCAAGACTATGCCACCCAGAGATGCTTCCAGGACTCTCACCTGCTCTGGACAGACACACACTCATCTGGTATTGGAAACCCCAGGTGATCCCAGAATCCGTCCCCAACATGGCACTTTTGCTTACAACAGTAACAACCTAAACACATCCCATTGGCATTTAGCCACAGCCTTTCCTCGTGTGACTGGTGCTATAGGATGAGGTCGGGTCAGTATTGACCCCCACCTTTCCCCCACCATGCCAGATTCATCTTCCTGAAGCACCACTCTGACGACCTCACTCTCCTCCTCAAAAACCTTTTCCAAAAATAAAGTTGAATACCTTCAGCCAGGAATTAAAAGTCCTGTATGGTCTGCTCCCACCCCCACTGCCCTAGCCTTCCTTAGGCCCCAGCCTTGTCTTCAGCTGCCTCTCTGCAACCCAGTGCCACTACGCACTTCCTACATTTATGCCTTTTCTCTTCTTCCCTCATCTCCCACACGGCCGGTTCTGCCAATATCTTTGTCTTTCTCTCCCTGTAAGACCTAGCTCAGAGGTCATCTTCTTTATGACTCTTCCCAACTGAACCCAATGTCTGCTTCCCAGAGCCTCTGAAAGTGCTTCACCTGTATGTGTCTTATGACTTTATAACCTCTACTTTTGATGGCAGTTATTACAATGACCTCATCCCCCTTGTGGACCTCGAGTTCCAGAACTGTGTTCTGGTTTCTGTCTCTGTCCCCAGAGCAGAGCCAGTGCTTGGATGTTTGCTCAACACTGGCATCCAGGAAATGAAATTTGAGGGCAAGAAAGAGTGAGGAAGGGAGCTAGTGAACAAATGGATTTGGTCCAGCACCCAACTGCCTGTATTTCTCTCTTCTTCACCCTCTGAGTGCCTGAGCCCTACAGCTTGACCACAATGCACACTGATCGTATTTTAGGATAAGGGATACAGTGGGATAATGAGAAATATACAAGGGAAGGAGCCCTGGTTAGAAGTCCAGACACCTGGACTCTGGTCTGGAATTTCAAATCAAGATGTTGGACAAGTCATTTCCCCATTCTGACCTGCAGTCTGCTTCTCTAGAAAAGCCAGCACATCATATTAATGATCTTTAAGTCCTTTCTAATTCTGAGTTTTTGATTCTAGTCCCTTTCTTCTACCTCTGTGCCCATGACAAGAATATCTCCCCCATTGTAAAACAGGGTCATAATATAGATTATTTACTGAGGTTTGTCGAGCCCTTTTCACTGGTCTATCTGCCATGCTGAAACATTCCAGCAATCACAGAGGGTTCAGCTTCTAGTGCTTACCCCAGGTCCCCAGTCCTGCTCAGAAACAGTCTTGTGCTGACCTCATCCTGATTGTAACTGGAAGTCACATTTCTCTACTTCCAGAATTTTGCAAATCTCTAGTTCCTGACATAATACCTTCTCCTTGAAGAATGCTTCTGGTAGGGATCCCTTCTTTTCATCTGCATCATTCTCTACCCCTGACTGCTAGTTCATTTACCTACATGGTCAATTGGGTTGTCTGTAGAAGGAGACCAGTTTGAAGCACTCAGGAGTGATTTCAGAAGGCTGAGCACTCATTAGCTGGTTCACACTGGAGGGACTGGGGATCTTGCAATAGGCTTCCAATGCATCAAATGGTCCAAAACTTCAGGGCAGAAGTGTGGCAAATAAAATTAATGCATCAGAAGGCATGCCCACAACAATAAAATGGCGCTGTGCTCTTATGCTAACAGTAAGCCCATGAATACAGGTTTCTTAGAGATCACTTGGCCCGTGCTACTGGAATTAGGCTTGGCTTGCCCCCGAGGGAGACTCTGCTGCACGCCGGCACCAGGGGGATTTGTAGGGCTTTCCTTGTGGAGACCAGTTACAAATTCACATGACTCATAGACTCAAGAGCTGAAATGGATCTTAAGAGATTATTGAGTTCAGCCAACCCTTCTCACCCTGTTTTGTAAACAAGGAAACCGAAATCTGAGAAAGTTAATGCTTTGCGCAAGATCACTCAGCTAGTAAACCAAAGGATCAGCGATCAGGAACCGTGAACGTGTGCCCCAAATGCTGCCTCTCCAAGCCACCCACCTCTCAAGGGAAACCTTGAACTGGTCCGAACTATTTGAGATTGTAGAGCCAACCCATACATTCCAGAGAAACTCTGAGTCAGCCATAAATTGAGTGCCAAGTTGGCTTGAATGTGCTATGGGGAACTTGGGTCAGCTTTTATTAGAACTGTGACCTGTCGGGAGGCCTGAGAAGCCCCAGAGTGTGGCCTGGCTCGTGGGGCATGGAAACACCCTACATGGATGTTGCCAAGATGCCACTGATGTCCTTGCTCCACTCTTGGCACATTTACAGAGGCGGTGACTGCCGAGGCCGTCCCTGCAGACCAGGATGTAAATCCAGCAGAATGTCTTAGCACCTAGGTTACTCTTTGGGGATTAGGTAATACCCCCTCTTTTTCTCCAGTTTCCTGTGAGACTCCATTAGTTGTGCCCGTTATAGGCTCGCAAAGAATCTGTAGCTATCTTCTCTGCTTTAACTTAGAAGACAGTTGAAGTCAAATAACTGATTATTTAATAGGGTCCTTCCTCTCTGCACAAAACTGGGTAAAGAACTCTCCATGCTTATCTCAAGTGATCCTTATAACCACCCTGTGAAGTAGGCATTTTCATTCCCATTTTACAGATGAAGAACCTGAGACTCAAGGACATAGATCTAGTTAATAGGGGAGCTAAGGTGAGAACCTTAGTCTGCCTGACTCTAAAGCCCAAGTCCTGAATTACCTCTTGCTTCAGGCTTTGCTTTTCACAGAGATAATCTAAGAAAGGGGGAGGAGGGCTGGGTGTATGTGAAGAAGGTGAGAAAGGCCTCCAGCATTTGCTGACTTTGGTGCCATTGGTCTCTATACCCTGCCACGGAGATGCTGCTGGTCCTCCTGTCTGGCCACACCCACAGAGTCACCCTCTCTGTCTTTTGCCAGGCTCCTTCCTCCTCCTCAACACCTCCGCGAACTCCAAGCACACCATCCTGAGCCCATGGATGAGGAGCAGCAGTGAACACTGCAGGCTGGCTGTGTCCGTGCACAGGCATCTGCAGCCTTCTGGGAGGTATGTCGCCCAGCTGCTGCCCCACAACGAGCCTGGAAGAGAGATCCTCCTGGTACCCACTCCGGGAAAGCATGGGTAAGTCCTTCCCCATGTTCAAAACCGATTCTATGAAAGGCCATTTGGCTTTTGGCTGCAAATTTCCAGAGTCTGTGACATCTACTTAAAACTCACAATCGTCCTTTAATGGGTAGGGTCCAGATTGAGCCATTACTGCTAATACTCCCAAGGTAGTGTCTCGGGCACTGATCTGTGGGGCCCTCTGACCGCCCAGGCTGGTGGTCCTTCCAGAGGCCAGAAGACCAGCTGGCAGAGTGGGCCTTTAATGAGTGGGTGTTAAAGATGTTTATTTCCCAAAGTACAGACGGAGCCAAGAAGAAAACAGCCAAGGGGAGTGTTAAAAGGCCAAAATGAAAGTAATTTAATATGCTGGAAACTGGGTTTTACCTTCTATGGCAGGAAGGGAAAGAGCAAACTGCTGTAACCACCCAAGCAGGTCCTGCGGGAGTGCGGGACCTCAGAGCAGAGAATTGGTCAGGGATGCCACAGTGGTATCAATTCAGTGGAGGTTGGGACAAGCTTTGTTCCAGAAGCTCTAAGGCTTACAGAGTCCTGAAGTCACACCAGATGCCCATGTCAGTGAGCTCAAGCTTCTCGGAGATACCCACTTGCTTACTCAGTGATCCACTGAGCCTCCAGAAGTAGTGACATTGGGAAGCAAACCTGAACCAGGGTGTCTCTGTGCATACCTATTTTCCTTATTCCATAAGAATAAATACCATCATAAGACCCCAGTTTTGGGGTGCCTGGGTGGCTCGGTCGTTAAGCATCTGCCTTCGGCTCAGGTCACGATCCCAGAGTCTTGGGATCAAGCCCCGCATCGGGCTCCCTGCTCGGCAGGAAGCCTGCTTCTCCCTCTCCCACTCCCCCTGCTTGTGTTCTGTCTCTCACTGTCTCTCTCTCTGTCAAATAACTAAATAAAGTCTTAAAAAAAACAGTTTTGAGGAGCCCCCGATCTGAATATTATTGTAATCAACAAGAGTGAGACATATTTCTTTGTGATATGTTTACAGAAGAAAGACCTCAAATTTCTGTCTAAGCTTAGACTTAACTTCTCTCTAAAAAGATACCTTTCCAAAGAGTCCCATCTGAACAGTGATGTTACCCATCCTTCACCTACATGGTGTGCTGGGTGAGGAGGGGAGAGCACCTGTCTACTGCTCTTCCAACAAAGCTCTGTGGCCTCCTTAGTAAGTTCTTGAAGGTCTCTACCCTACTCTCCTACCACTGACCCGCCTGTATGTAGTTATGCTTCAAAGAATACAAGCTGCTACCATCCCAGCAGGAAGGAAGCCTTGGCTTCAAGAAGGATGCTGTCCCGGTACCTAAACTCCTCTCCATCTTCTTGCTTCTGAAATGCCTCCTTGGGCTCTGTGGGAGGGTCCCAGCACCAAGTGCCTCTTGCTCGGTCCACCGGAAGTTAGGAATGTTGGGCGTCTGTTTTGGATGAGCTGTCCTCTGGGCCAAACTTCCCTCCAGCATGGCCTTCCTTTCTCATGAGAAGGCCAGATGGTAAGGCCTCCCACCCGTGTGCAGGGCGGCTGTTGGCCTCGGCCACAGCGTCATCCTGCAGGCGTCTGCCCAGCCTCATGAGCTGTTTATTCTGACTTCTGCCATCAGCACCGAGCCCGGCAGAGACCAGACGGTGCTGCTCGGGGCTGCCGAGACTTCACACCGTCAGTCTGTTCAAGTATGTGGTTGGGGGCCGGACCCGTTGATGTCATAGGCAGAAGTGGAGTTCAGAGTCTCCCTGAAATACAGGCTGAGAAGGTGCATGCGTGTGAAGGAAGGACGCCAGAGGGATTTCAGCACCTCCTGAGCAGCAGAGCCTAGTCCCCTGGATAGCATGGGCGGGAGACCAGAGCCCATCTGTACGACGAGCCATGGGGGCTTGCAAAGCTGTTTCACCTCTTATCTTCCCATGCTTGCAACGATGTGAGTTCCCATTTAACAGACGAGAAAACTGAGGCAGGGAGTGGAAATAGGACGTGATAGGGCCCAAAGTAGACTCCAGGTCTCCCCTTTCCTTATTCCTGCACTTTCCAGGAAACACGTAGCCTCTCAGCAGGAACTCAGGGCGAAAGGGGTGGGTTCAGGAAAGAGGACGTGGACGGTGACAGAATCCTGCAACAAGAGATGACCTAGATTCTTTGGTGCGTCCAGACAGATGAGCACAGGGGGCGTGTGCCCTTCACAGAGAGTGAGAATAAGGAGAGGAAGGCCGCACGGTGCGGGCAGGCCGTGATCCCCGCCTGAGGCCGCCATTGCTATCAGTCTGCAGGTCCACCCTCCTGGCCATTGCATCACACTCCTGAGGCGACTCTTCCATCACCAGAGTTGGCCTGCCTCCTCAAGAGTGGGAGTTGAGGCAGGAGACAGGAAGCAGGTGTGCTGGGGCAAGCCCCCTGACTTAGCTCTGCCTGGGGCCGCATCTACAGGGGCTCCGCCTCAGTCTGGGCTCCATGCATCTGCGGGCAGGCATGCTCTCACCCAGCCCTGGCAGAGCCCTCTTGGAGCTTGAGGATGAGCAGGAGTGAGTCCAAACCGAAACTAAAGCTGCTGGAGCCAACCTCTCCACCTCTAACCAAATCAATGGAGTGAGGGTGGAAGGTGGCAGCTGAAGGGGCAGGCCAGAGACTGCCCTGCCACCCAGAGGCACTCCGCGGCCCGAGCCATCTTGGCAGGCCGCAGGGCACGGGCACTTGTCCAGTACCTCGCAGGGCTCCCGGCATTTGTGTCGAGCTGGATCGGGGTTGCTCAGCCTCAGCACTATTGACATCTGAGACCAGAGAATTCTTTTTGTGGGCACCGTCCTGGGCCCGGCTCCCCAGCTTCCCAGGCCTCTACCCACTCGATGCCAGGAGCACCTTCCCTGGTTATGGCAACCAAAATATCTCCAGACATTGCCAGATGTCCCCTGTGGGTCAAAATTGCCCCCACTGGGAACCACTGAAATAGCTAGAGCATTTTGGAGCTGGGAGGAACCCTGAGATTTACCTGGTTCAACCTTGTCAATTCACGGGGGTGGGGACTGGGGCCCAAAATGGGGAGGGGACTTGCCCCATGTCACATGATGAGCGTCAGTGTTGGTCGACAAGTGTCTTGAGCCCTATACTCATGTTTGTGCACCAACCGGTGTACTAGGTCCTGGGTTACAAAGATGTATAAGGCCCAGTCTCTATGCTCGAGTAATAGTGACTACTGCTAACAGTTATTAACACTTCCCAGATGCGATAACCAGTCAACACTGTGCCCTTTATGTGCATTTTCTTATTTAATACTCGACAACACAGTGAAGCAGGTACTGTTACTATCTTCCATTTCACAGATGAGGAAGTGCGGTGAGGTCAAATAACCTTCTCCGAGGCCACCGGCTAGACGGGTCACGGGGGTCTGAACCCAGCCAGCCTGACTTCAGACTATTTTTGCCCGTTGCTAGAAGAGCTCAGTTAGGCCATGGTGGTGCGGCAGAAAAATTAGCATGCTGGGAGTCAAAGCCCTGAATTTAGGAGCCGGTGTACCATTCAGTAGTCAGTTCAGGGAACGATGATTCACTGGGTACTTCCTATATGTTGGGGACCGTCCAGGTGCCAGAGATACAAAAGGCCAGCCTTTGATGGTCCTTAGGAGGATGTTCCATGAATGAGCTCTAGGACTTCAGGGGAATCCCACCCCCTAGCAAGCCTCAGTTTCCCCATCTGTGAAATGGGGATGAAGAGGCCAGCTTTGCTCTTGTGCTGTGGAGTCAAGGTGATACAAGACATAAAGGGCTTTGCACACGAAGCAGGATGCAAACGTGATAGGCCACTATTTAATAGCCTACCCTGCTCTGTTCTGCTCAGAATTGGGCATCAAAAAGGACTGAGACTCATCTGCTCTCCGATTATGGGGGCAGTGCCAGTCTCAAGAATCCTTTGGTTTTGAGATCCGGGGCAGTTTGACTCCCTGAAACTCACTCCCTTTAAGATCAGAGATGACCCAAGAACACAGTGCTCCGAGTGGCGAGGGGGACAGAGTTAAATCCTGGTGGTGATGACAGTGAGGATAAAAACACAGAACATGGTGCGTTGGGGACTGCCGTTTGCAAACCAACATTCAGCGTTTGACGTAACATGGGAGGAGGCTGTCATAACACAGTTGGCTGGGGAGAGCTTGACTCATACGCGTGGGCTGAGGAAGGACAAGCCTGAGGCCACTGAGTTCTCCGGAAACCGAGTCGTGAGCACAAGGGGCCACACTGGGGAGCAGCAGCCTTCCTGGAGATAAGGGAGGCAGGGGAAGGCAGTCGGGGAGCCCCAGCAGCTGCTCCCTTCCTTGTCGCCTGGAAAACAGCCACGTACATGAGGTCTCGTGAATCACGGGGCATGAACGCCCACGTCTGCCAAAGGCGGCCTGGCTTTGGCCGGGGTCCCCCAGGGGACACACAGTGATGAGTGCCCGGTCTGCTCATCTGCTCCTCTGTCCTGCCAGCATGGCCACAGGAGCAAGGACGCAGAGAAATGCTCTGTCCAACAGCCCAGCCCTGCTGGCCCCAGAATCCAGCAGGCCTAGGATATCTTAACTAGAAGTCAGAGGTTACAAAGTCGCCATGCATTGAATGAATATGATAATCCCTCTCTAAAGTGGTGAGCTGTGAAATGGCATAGGGAAAATGGTTTGCACCGTGCTGGCTATGGTAGGCGCTTAACACACGCTAGATGCTTCGCTGGATGCTTTTCAGCGCATCCAATCCATGGACCGGGCGCCTCCCGTGTGGTAGGTGTTGGGAATACGCAGCTGAAGATGGCATGGGCATGGCTTTCAAGGAGCATCCGGTCCAGTAAGGAAGACTCAGCACGTGCTTGTGCAATGGGGGCCCAGAGAGATTGGGAAGCTGAGCTGAGCTCCCGCGCTGCCCTGCCTTTCTGCGAGAGCTGATTTCAAAGAAAGAGCAAGCCGCAGCCATTGGCGGCGTGAAATCGGCGCCCTCCTGGACTCAGGACCACAAGCTTAGGGGCTGGGCGGGGGGAGTTGGGGGC